CATGGGATGTGCCACACACTGCAGGCGGGAGTAGGGCCTCCCCCTGGCATCACCTGGGGGAACCAAACACCTCACCTCGCTGGGCTCACCTGGGGCCAAGGCACTCTCCTGTGCCAGCTACAGACACAGCTCTGGGCAGGGAAAGCTCCACCACCATCCTGGGCCTTTCACAGGTGTCTGTGAGCGACGGATGGTTCAGGGTGTGTGCCCACACCTGTCACTGTCACATTTTCTGAAACATTTCTTTACCCAGGATTCTTCTCCTGGGAAGCTGAGAAGCCTCAGAGAAAAATGAAAACAATCATGATCTGATTTGCTTCTCCTGTGTTTTGCTGCTTTGGAATTTGGTTTGGATATTGTTTACCAACAGGTGGTTGTTTCATGGGTTTCATGTAAATTATTTTAACTCAATGACTAATCATGGTCCAGCTGTGTCAGACTCTGGAGTATCTTTTTTTTTTCTTTAGTATCTTTTAGCCTTCTGTCTGTATCCTTTCTCTATTCTTTAGTATAGTTTTAGTATTCTTTTATATAATATAGATCATAAAATAATAAATTAGCCTTCTAAGAACATAGAGTCAGATTTCATTCATTCCTCCCTCGACAGGGGACACAGGAAATACCACACAGACCCTCACCCAAACCAATGGAGATGGAGCTCCTCCACTGGAAATCTGGGAAGAGCTGGAGCTAGGGATATGCTACCATATTCTAGACAGTAAAATCTCTTTTTCTTTGCTCTGGTGGAAAAAAACTTTGAAGTGTGGAAGCTTTCTGAGGAAGACTTTCCTAATAATAATTTTGCTCAAGCTTAAAAAAATTGTGAATAAATTTTGGGTTTTTTTCTGCCAGGTAGTATAATACGATGGATGTAATATTTGTATAAAGTTTCTTTGTGTTACAGTTAAAACTTATTAAATCTTGGAAAAATTGAATTGCAAAGGGGAATTAAATGAGAAGATATTTGTCCATTTGAACTTCCAAACTCAGACTCCTAAGTTTCACTAAGATCCAGGAATAAAATGTAAATCATTAAATCCTGGACCATCAAGAATTTTATTCTACCCATGGTAAACAGCAAAAAAGAGGAGAGAAAAAGCAAAAAAGAGATGTAGCTTCTCCACTCAAAATCTGGGAAGGGCTGGAGCTAGGGATGTGCTACCATATTCTAGACAGTAAAATCTCTTTTTCTTTGCTCTAGTGGGAAACAACTTTGAAGTGTGGAAGTCTTCCAAAGGAGACTTTCATAATAATAATTTTGCTCAAATTTTTTAAAAAATTGTGAATACATTTTTGGTTTTTTTCTGCCAGCTAGTATAGTATGATAGATGTAATATTTTTATAAAGTTTCTTTGTGCTATGGTCAAAACTTATTACATCTTGGAAAAGATGAATTGCAAAGGGGAATGAAATGAGAACATACTTGTCCATTTGAACTTCCAAAGTCAGATTCTGAGTTTTGTTGAGATGCAGGAATAAAAGGTAAATCACTGGATCCTGGAAAATCAAGAATTTTATTCTACCCATTTTTTTTCAAAAAGGAAAAAGGAAGGTAGAAAAAGAAAATATAACCAAAATTGTAGTCATGTTGCAACTTTGAAGGAAAAAGTTGAATAAAAAGGAAGAAAAAAGTATGTTGCAACCATGAGTATCCCATGCCAAACCTCAGCGGAGGTCACTGGAATAAGCCAGCAAGCCAAGCCTAAATAAAAATAGGACCTGTGGGATTCCCCATCTGATTTTGAAACAGTCACAGCTACACTACCATTTGTCAAGTTTGCAGGGTAGTTTTTTACCAGATGTGAGGAACACAGCACCAAATTGGGGCTGGAGCCAGAGAGAAGAGTGTATCCTTGCACACAGAAATAATCTGCTTAGGAAGGACTGGAAAGACTGGACTGAAACCTCCCAAATCCCTGAGTGCTGTGAAATGTGTTTTCAGAATTTCACCACAAGCGAGATGTTTTTGTCACCAAAAGCAAGGTGTTCAAAGGACCTGTCTTACTGTGTAAAGGAAGGGTTAAACTGTCTTTTTTTCACAAAAGGGAAATGCCAATTTATTGTATCAGGAACAATTTTATTTTCAGTTTAGATGTTTGCATTAAGAACCATCTAAGAGCGGTACTTTTATTTGTGTTATTCAAAGTGCATCAAGTGTTTCTCACTCTCTTCCAAATGTTAATTAACACCAGATATTAATGTGTAAATGCTGCTCACTTTCAGCTGATTGAGAAACCTTCTTAACACACTTTTGTTTGCTTTATAAAATCTCACTTGGGCTCCTTGAGGATGGAACTATTATTGTTTACATTTGTATGAGCAAGCTGGACAGGAAAAACACAGAGCAAGAACCCCTGGAACATGAACATAAGACACATCAGGGAACTCACTGGCAACTTTGTTTCTTGACCTGGTTCCTTGTTGGGTTTTGATTTGTGTTGGAGACTGGGCATGAACACTATCCCATAACCAAACAAGTCTTTATACCATCAAGTGCCTAGCATGACTGGTGCTCATTACCTTTAATTGTAGAACAATTGGAAGTGTCCATTTGACTTAGGAACACAGATTTATTTGAAAACCAGTGGATATTTTGGCCTAGGTTTTTGATACAAGTTTTTGATACACAGGTGGGGCTGGCAGCACATGGCCTTAGGGTAGTTATTGGGGTCATCTGCAGATGTCTACCTTTGCTTTAGTGTTTTGCCAAATGTAGTACAAATTTTTACACTGGGTAAGTGTTTTCAGGAATAAGGAGGTTTGCTCATGTTTAAAAACACAACAAAACAGTAAGAGCCTTGAGAAGGTAGAAGAGGCAGAACACTTCACACATCCACACAGTGGAGATCTAAAGTTCAATGGTGGCTTCAAGGTCAGAGAGCAGCTTAATGTCTTCTCTGTGCCTTCTCCCAAAACACCAAGCACTTTCTCCAGGACACAGAAGGGAAGCTAATAACTGAAATCTTTGCCTCAGAGAAAATCCCATACCCACCAATTTTTACCTGGCCTGTTACAAGCAAATGTACAAGCTTTGTTCCAGCAAGATGTACTAAGCTTCTGCTTGCCAATCAATATTTGCAGGCACACTAAATCAAAGAGAGATGTTTAAGTGGACACAGACTGTAGAGAAGTGCATGCCATGACACACATTTCTCATGTGATGTTATGTGCACTCATGATTAGCTCTTTCCTCACACCTGATGTGTGCAACAAGCAGCATGACACCTCAAGAAATGGTAATGCTGACTGGAGTTTTAAAAAAACCCAGCTGTTCTTCCCTTGAGATTCCAGCAGGCCAAGCTGCTGCTTACATTTGGACACAAACATTTTCAGTCTGCAGTTCTGGGAAATAATCAGAGCCCCTGAGTTGTGCTTTCACGTTTCTGGTGGAGTGTCATTAGCTGCAATGCCAGCCACTAAGGACAGCCCTGATTATCTGCAGGCTCACAAGCTGCCAAGAACAGGCACATGGTTTTGCATTTACAGTTGATCCTAGAGAGAAGAACACTATGGATATTTTTGGCCCTTTATTTTAATGGCATTGCCAGAACAACTTGAATCTGAAAACTCACAGCTCATTACCAAGAGCAAAATGCTGACCCAGGCAGAGCCAGAAGATTTGAAAACTACTTCAGAGTTGGGATCTAAACAGGCTGCTGTAGCACGTGGACAGCATTTTCCCTCTGTTAACCCCAAGGTCCCAGAGAGAACATTGCTTCTGTATTTACAGAATGCAAGACTGTGCTCTCCAGCCTGTTCTGCACCCTGGAGAGCAGCAGGATGCTTTAGGCTTCATACAAAGCAATCACGGCCCCAGCTTGTCTCACGTTCAAGCTGCAGCCCTGAGGCTGCAAGAAGGAGCTCAGGACCTGCAGGGCTGTATTATGAGATGCACAACCAGAGAAACAGAGAAGATTAAAACCAGCAACAGTACTGCCTGCTCTCCTGTGGGTGTTCCAGACATGCACCAGCTTTTCCTCCTGTACCAACAGCCTTTATCTGTCTCTTTGAGTCCAAGTCAAAAAGCCTTCCAAACCTTTGGTAAAGGTGTGAACAAAAGGCCCTGTTTTGAGGTGTTGAATGACCTGACATACCACCTGACTCCAGCTAACGTGTGGCATTTTTGGACCAGAGAGGCAATAAAATACCCACTTTAGCTTCTGACTACCATGAGTTATTCCTTTTCCTTCACTGTGCATGTCACAGCTCTCCCAGTTACAGAGATGAGGGAAAACCTTCTCAGGGAAGGCAGGCTTGTCTTTGTGTAGCTGGCAGACAGAAACACAGGATTACACCTACCTTCAATTTTGACTCCAGTCTACAGTAACCAGCTGCTATATAAAGAAAATATATACTGATGGTTATACTACACCAGTCTGATACCTCTGGTCTCAAGATAACTTTAAGGTTTACAGGACTCCTATTTTTGGGTGTATTTTGCACATAGGAGAGTGATTTCTATGTCTACGACCAAACTCAGCACCTTGTTGTTATATTCCCCTTCTTCCAATGATTTTTCTTGTAAGACTACAGAGCTCATATTCTTTATGAAATATCTTTAACTGACAAACATTTTTTGTCCATAGTTTTTCAGATGCAATTTGAACCTTTTAGATAGCAGAGAATTCTTTTGGGGCACTAAACACTTAAATGAGCCTGTTATGAGAAACCGAGGGAAATAAGATGTCTGGTTTTGGTTTTTTAATTCTCACTCTTGATTTTCATTGTTACAGCTTTTCCCTTGCAATGTAAACCTTACCTGCTGAAGAATGTTGTGTGATTTAACCCAGAACTCTTTGTGAAACACTGCAAGATTCCTGAGGGAGAGGTAAGGTTGAACTAAACCAGGGTATTGCGAGTAAAATTTGTTGCACTAAAACTTGGATGTCAAGCAAATACAAACTTCCTCAATGCAAGTTTGCAGCATTTTTGGAATAATTTCCCCCAGTAACTTCATCCCACTCAAATGAACCAAAAATGAAACAGATCAAGAGCAGGCAAACTTTGAAATAAATAAAACTTCTTTAATTCAATTTTTCATGATAAAGACTTTAAAAAGGGTAATTATTTTGCAGGCAGTTATCAAAAATCTACACTTAAAATCTAAATTTAGAGCTATTAGGGACAGGATAGCAACAACTGTATCTAGACTTACTTTGCTGGTCTCAGAAGTATTTCTCAGGAGTGTATCTTAGCTCTTGTTTCTCTGTGAATTAAGACACTGAGGTCGTTATGCTGCCTATCAGGGAAGGCAGTAGGTTGTATAGTTATCTCCTGATTGGGGCAAAATCACTACCCTGAAACCACACAACCTACTACCTCATCCTGTTAGAGCATCACGTGCATCTTCTGAAGGAAACATCTCACCATTTGCAAGTAAATTACCTTATCACTCTCCAGCCTTAGAGAGGCCATGTGTGACCTCAGCCCTTCCCCACAGCTCCACCTGGGAGTCAGACAGAACTGGTGGAGGGACTGCAGAGACAGGAGAACTGCAGTGGCAAACACTGTCCCTCCAAAACTAGCAATATGTAATAAAAAAGTGAGTTAAATCAGTGCCCAAAATGGACTGAAGAGACCTCTTACTCAGGGTTCAAGTATTTACCATTTCCAGGGCAGAACACGACTGACTGGGAAGACATCCTCTCAGGGTTTTGTCCAGCTCATCCCTTTGGAGTTTCTCAAACAGCCTACACCAAGTGGATTTAAACAGCTGCTGAATCAAAAGTACCATTTATGTTTAATATGAACACAGATGCCAGAAAACAAGGGAGAGATGGATCAGCTGTTTCCAAGTGGCCACTCCCATGGCAGTCCCACACAGCTGGGTGTGAGCAAATCCACTGCAGGCTGGGCTGTACCGCTGTGTCCTGCACTCACACCCCACCTGCTCTCCAAAAATGCCACAAGGAAATGGCTTCTGAGCCTGAATGGGAAATACAGGAATCTAAACACTCTGAGGAGTGTTACAGTACATTTGTGTACAAGAACCAAACATGCAGACAGAGCCAGAGAATGGTACAGTTGAAAAATATCTGTTGGCTTTTGGAGCCATCCAGCGCTGACATCACAGCCACTTCAGGAAAGACAGTAGATTGTATAGTTATCTGACAGGCAGGGCATAGCCCTAAAACTATACAACCTACTACCTCACCCCAAAGGACAGTCTCATTCTGATCACAGGAAGCACAGGCTGCATTCCCAGACAGCTGGATTGCTTAGTGACAACCTAGAAGACAAAAAACTCTGGAGACAAATGTTAACAGTCTTGAATGTGAAACGGTTTGCTATATACCAGTCAACATTCTGCTTAATGAGCTCCAGTTCCATGTTTGAAATGTTTAATAGATTTGCAACTTGTGAAGTCATGTCAGTGACAAGATACACAAGGGAAACAGGATACAGCATTCATTTTTAATAACTGCACTTGTGTACTGCCTGCTCCTACATGACTGTACCTTATCAAACAGTTTGTCACTTTGGGAAAGGCATCACTATGACTCAGAATGGATGCTGAATAAAGGGATTGTTTAACATGCTTCCAGATCCTTCTCCATTATCCTAATGGGGAAGAACTGAGGTTCTCTAAAGTGAATTTCCCAAGTTCTGCATAGGTAAACCCCAAAGACTGAGCAATGAATTTAAGACTGTGAGGAATTGTGGCTTAGTCAGCAATACTCCTAACTGAGCAGGAACCCAGCTCTGAATTGATGAGCAAATTAAACACACTCCACTGTACCACACAGGCCTTGGCTAGGGGGATTAGCAGAACTACCACTACAACATCAGCTTCTGTAGCTTCAAACTTCTGCTCAAGTTTGAGGGGGTTGTTATTTCCTGCCACCTGGTTTGATAGACAACAACACTTCCTATTCAGGGTGGATTTAAAGAAGTTGGAATAACAGATATCAGTCTGTATTCTAATACAAACACTACTTGAATATGTAAGCACACTTTTAAAACAAACAGCCTACCTTAATCAGTGAAGTAACCTTTTGCTAGTTAATTGAAGAGCACAATAAATGCTGCATCCATCAGCCCCACATGGATCAAGGAGAGCTGTTTCACTCAGCATGTCTCACCCTGAGGTCACTTGGTCACACTGCAGGGGGACAGAAACCATCTGCCCTGGCTTTCAGCATCACTGCTGTGGGGATCTGAAAAGAGAGGAGCAAGACAAAAAACATAAATCTCAATTGCATTTCACTGCACACTGAAACAATCACAAGGTGGGTGACAGCATGTGCAAAGCAGAAAGCAGCTTCTTTCTCCAGGAGCTTTCCCATTCAGCTGGCACTACCACAGGTACACCACGGCCCACAGAGACCCCAACTCAAAGAGACAGGCAAGAGAAAACTATAGTGAAAAGAAAATAATTTTTTATTAGATTGACTTGAATACTAGGAGCATTGCAGAGACAGGCAGAGAGAGGTATCAAGTACTTCACCCTCAAGGAACAAACACTTTTAAGCAAAGCAGAGAAGGAAGGAGAATGCAGATACCTGATCAAATTGGATATCAAACTGTTAATCTATAAAGAACAACGTTATGCCATCAATGTCAAAGATCATTTCATGGTAGTGGAGACCATGGAGAAAGAGGTCACTGGCTGCTGTTAGCTGCACATGGTGCCATTTGTTGGACAAAACAGGACAGGTGCAATTCTGACCAAGCTGAGATCACTGCAGGGAAGGAAACACTGTCCAGTCCTGCACCTCACCTCTTGGAACCTCAGAGCCCCTGCAGGCCAAAAAGGGCAATGTTCTTTCAATACCATACTGAAGGAATACCTTGAGAGACTTCAGTGTTTCATCAATGCAAAATCCCTCCCAAACTGGTACCTTAACTTATATCAAGAACCCCTTTGGAAAGCTCTCCAGCAGAAAGCATGATAGCTTTCTCTATGTACTTAAGGGTTTTAAATCTCAGAATTTACTGAGTACCAGCTTTTGGCATGGTCAATTACTCTCCCAATAATCCTCTGAAAACAAACCCTACCCTGTACTTCCATTTTTTAGATAAGACATTTAAAAAGAAACAAGTTCTTTATGTGTGCAATCAGAGATCTCAGTATTTTTCCTCAGAGCTGAGAATGTGAAGTGGAGCTAAACTTCTGTGCAGTTTCAGCAAGGCTGGATGTGTTGCACAGTCAGCTCTCAGAAAGTGTTTTCTGTGTAAAATAAACCCTGTGCTTATATCAACAGAACAGAGTTACATAATATAATTGGAGGAAAGCTGAGTATTGTGTGACTTCAAAGTGTGACTTTTTGTAAGCATCTATTTCATAGTGGAAGGACAAAAACAACACAGCCTTTCAGAATAGTAGCTTTTTATGCTGGATGGTCCAGTGAAGCCAGTTCAAAGAACCAGTCTGGCTCTAAAAGGATACATTCACAGTAGTGAAAAGCCCAAACTATCCCACAGATCCATCCAACTCCAATGACAGGGAATTTTGGATGAAGAACCTTTACTTACAGCTGATCTCAGTGACTCTAAGAGACAGAAATATAGACTGAATGAAATGCAACATTCTGGAGTATGTTCTAGGGATTTACACTGCCTGTCTTTAATATATTTGGACTTCACTTACACTTTTGGGGGCAATATTAGGTGGGATCCTAGAAAATGTTCATCCCTGCTGAAAAAAGGGTGAACTTGAATTAATCATTTCTAAAGGATGCTCTTATTTTCTATGATAATGATATTAGAGATTCTTTTCTCTAGGTGCTGTGCTGATATAATGTTGTCTTAATGTGTATTTCCCCACAAAAGTAGTAGTTTTTAAATTCATAATGATATTGAGATAATTACTTGTAAAGTACCATAAACTCTGCGTAACACTGTTTTCTATAAGATCTGTTATTATGGGTATTAGTAATACTCATTAGCAAACAAAAATGGAAAAGAATGTGCTTTATCCAACACCTAAAATTAATTAGTCTTCTGTGCTCACAAGCTGCCCATAAACTTAATTTAATTGACTAGATCACCAAACAAGGATGAACTTTAAAATACTTAATGAAAGAAAAATCCATGTTCATTTTCCTTCTACAAAGACGACAGGCACAAGAAAGAGCTCTCTGGCAAGAGTTATGTTTCTAGTTTAACAATTGTTTAATACTAGGAAAAATATGACATTTCCATATTCCAACTCTCACTGAAAAACATCTTGGAACTGATGTTAATAAGTACCTCAGCAGTCACTTTTCAAAAGGCAGGGGGCCAAGTCTGCTATTTCTGTGATGTTACAGGAAAGCAGACAGTTTTAAGCAGGCTTGTTATATCACTAAAAGCCTTACTAATGAACAGACTGGGACAGCACAGAACAAGTGTTCTGTGATTTCAAGGTACCTTCCCCCCAAAACCCCGTGAGGATTTACAAAGGCCAAGCCTCTCTGGCTCCCTGGCTGGGTGCTCTGGGGTGCACTGTGATACCCGGGAAGAAGAGTTCTTGGAGGCCTTCTGAGGCAGGGACTTTTCCCTGGATGCAGGCCAGAGCAGCAGCTCCCAAGCTCTCTGCATGCTGTGATGATGTTCTGGCTTCCCAAGTGAAGCACACACACTCTGCTCCTACAGGCTGTTTGTCCATGATTAGAAATGTCACCTGTCAGACTGATCTGGGGGCTGTTTGGGTCCAACCCAGCTAGCTCTGGCCCCACAGTCCTACATAGGACAAAAGTAAAACACTGGAGGTGCTCTCCTCCAGGGAGAAAGGGGACAATGGGACAAACCATGTGATCAGTGCAAATTACCAAACACCCAGTGCAAAACCAATGACTAAATAAGCTATTTAGTGCAATAAAACAGTCACCAGTGTGTTAGGGAAGAGCATTGTGGGGAAAATGGCAGAGGATATGCCAAGATGGACACTCCTGACCAAACTCAGCAGGGCTTGGATCAGGCAGAACTGCCACACCCTTCTCCTGGAGCAGGACTGTGGCAAAGCAGTATTGTGGCAGGTAACTTTCCTAGAGATTTTAGTAGAGATTACTTAGAGGATGGAAGGATTCAGTTTCTTTGGATTTCCGTATGATAAACTCCACACAGTGTATTTTAAAATATTTTTTTTAACTAAATATAATGGAAATGACACACTGCTTTCATAAAGCATGCAAACTTCAAGAAGAAAAAACAGCCTACAGACACAGATGTTGTGACTCCTGTGAAATACAACATGTACTGCAATCTCACTCATTACTTAAATACAGTTGCTTCTAAAATGGCAAACTGCTCTTTCCCCAGTTATGAAACTTTCCTTGTATTTCAGAGAATGATGAAACACTTGATGTCTCAAAGTCTCCCCACAAATACAGAAATTAAACCAGGGTTAAGCACTGGCAGCTCTGTATGTTGCACTTGTGATCTTAAACAAATAAAGATTTAAGGAGATCTATTTTCTGAAAAATAAGCTGTGAGAGACACAACAGAACTGCTCAGGGCATTACAAGCTATTAGTTTTGTAGGATTTAAAGATCAACCTCCTGTTTTCCTGGCATAATCTTCCCATGTCCTGGCTTCCCAGCTGAGCTGTTGTGCTTGCCCCCAGTGTCTCCCTGAGCTCTCCATGGCAGAGATGAGGACCCCCAGATCACAAAACCCAGAAACTGGGGCAAGTCCAGAGTCCAGGGGAGGTGAAACCTGTGTGGAAATGGCAAATCCATCAGGAAAGTGAGATACACCTTATGAAAAACAAATTTTACAGGTACTCTTGCTATCTTACCATGTGTAAAAGCAAAAGTGCAAGGGCTGAATTATCTGGGAAATGAACCCTGCAAGAGGAGATGAGGCTGTGACAAATTAGGGATTGGTTTTTACTAGGAAAAGAACAAAGAGAATGTGCCAGGTTTATTTGGACACTTAAACTGGTAACCCTCATCTTTGACTTCATATGTGATGTCCAGCTCTCCAAAACTGCACCTTTCCCACTCCCCTAAAGCCCTGTGAAAATAAAATCTGGGCACAGTCAATGATGCAGACAAGAGTCAGAACCACAGTCTTCTGTCTCTCCAGCTAAATACTCAGCCACCTCACCAGCAATTATTTGAGTGATATTTTTAATTCTTTTTGGATGGAAAACACCTTTACTGCACAGAAAATCTTAAATAAACCATCTGAATTTTAAGTCAAGTGGATTTGGCTTTTTAGTACGTGCAATTCATACAGTTTCACACCTAACCTATGACACACCACTGAGAAACAGCTATTTTTTTCAGTTCCTTATAGAAGCTAGGAAAAATGGAATAGAGTCACATCTTCTTAAAAAAATGCCATTGCCAATCTCAATCCACTAATTCCTTTTTGGGAAAACTGAATTTTCACTCTGAAATTGATTCAGGTCCCTGAAAATTGTTTTTCTTTAAAAAGACATGCAATAAACTAGTATATACAAATCCTTACTTAATTAAACACCAAGAGGTGCTTAATTCATCTGTCAGGTTAAGCCTCAACAAGAAACTAAATTCATTTTGCAGAATACAGCCATGTCAATAATTACAGTTGGTAGAAAAATGGCTTCTGGCCTTCCTCCCATAAGGCTTTCATTTTAAATTTTAGCCCTTAGTGAGATCAAGCTGACAAGTAGGAGTAAATGAATTAGTGGTCTGGGAGCCAGGAGAAGGTCAAAGCTCCAAATAAGCCAGTGGTAGTGGATTTAGACTAAAATTCTGTATTTACATCAATGCACCCTTACATTTGCCATCAGCACAAACAAGATAAAGTTACTTGAGTGCTCTTGAAGAAGGAGCTTTATATGATGGCAGACAAGTAAATCCATCCTTTAGAGAGTGTTCCATTTGTGATGATCACTTCAGAGCCTGCAGCATTTGAAATTGAGGATAACGTCTTATGGAAAGTTGGCATGAAATTACTGTTCTGTATAGCATGTTTGTTTTACAATATTGTTAAAAGCCTAAAATTCATTTCTATTGCAGAACAATGTTCTGGAGTCTGGACTGCATTTGGGGCTGAGCCAGTGGCCTTGGTTCAGCCTGACAGTAAGCCAGCAGAGGCCTGCAAGTCCACATGCACTAACACGGAGAAAGCATTTGTACAGGCATTGCAAACCAAGCTGCAGTTTGTTTCTGGTTACTTTTGGGACTTGGGGAGGGTGTGAGGCTACAGACATGATCAGACAAGCCTGCTTGCAAGAGGCAAGTGT